GTGCATGCGTCTGAGGGCACACGAGGTAACGCCATGTGGCAGGGCTGTGCCGGGCAGCTCGGATCCTCTGGTTGCGAGGCCAGAATGTGGTTGCAGTGTGTGTGCAGGACAGGAGGGGAGGGGGACAAAGGGGCCTTTGTGCCACACTCCTGACTCAAGCCCTCCTCTCCGCTGACATCACAGCTGCCCTAAATAGAGCTGCAGGGACCCGCTCCCCCAGGCCCGGCTGCCCCCCTGCGTCATGGCACAGGGCCGGCCGCTCCTGCCGCCGCTCCAAGGACTTTCCTTTGTCTTTTCTGTGAGGAGCCACATTCCTAAGGTTGATTTCTTGGTCAACTTCAGATGGAACATTCTAGAAAAGAAGGAGGTTTCATTTGGATTTTATATTTTTTGCTGCTTTCTCAGCATCCTGGGTCTCTTCTGTGGTATGAGTCCATCTCCTGGCAGGATTTTTTTCCTGACTGAAACGTGGCAGATTTCCCCTCCTCTCTGGGGTCATCTCTTTACCCCTCAGCTGCCCTGGTGCCTCCAAGACTTTCCTGGATGGACATGGGTGAGGTTGAGGAGGGGAGAGGTTGTTGGGGCGGCAGGGAGCCCGCCTAGCTGGAGTGTGGGAGCCTCAGGCAAGGGGGGCACGTAGGGTTGTGCGGTGAGCAGGAGAAGAAATGTGGGGCTGCTCTCAAAACCGGAACCCCCAGGGGAAGGTTGCTCGGGGCTGTGAGTGTGGGAGGCTGCGTGAATGGGTGGGGGGGTGCCGCCCACACGTCCCTGTGTCCCACTCTCTGCGGCCCGTCCACCCATCAACAAACGGGGCTGTATTCAAAGGGCCCCACACACGTGCAGGTGTGCTGGGGTTGATTGTTGGGGAGGGGTTGGTCTGTGGGTATGAGGACTGCTCCCCCACACACCTGGCAGAGGAGGAGATGGAAAGGGTCTAGCAGTAGGGACCTGTGTCTGCATAGGGGCGACAGAGGGCGTTGGAAGGCCTGCAGGGGAACAGGGGTGGCTGATCAGGGAAGAGTTGGGGAAAAACCAGGAGAGGCTGGGTGTGGGGAGAGACCACAGACCTAAAGTGTCAGGATCCGCAGAGGCCAAGTGCTGGGGAGCACGTGTCTCCGTTCCCTTCCTGGTATGCGCTCCAGAGGGTACCAAGTAGAGCTGAGAGATGTCCACGGGCCAGGGGGCAAGTCCTGGGAAGAAGGATGGCCGTGGTCTAGCAGGATAATCAGACCCTTCTACAATGGAGACTTCGAAGACTTCGCACAGCACGTGCACGCACAGAAAGGCCCAGAGGGAGGTGAGTTTCGTGCACGCCGATGCGGGAGACTGGGGTTTTCTCTGCCTAAGGCCATGGGAGGGAGAGGAAGATGGGGTGGGACGGGGACCAAAGCACATTGTAGAACAAGGAGGCCACATATTCACGTTCTAGGTGACTTCACTGCTGTGGGGCAGACCTCCGGCCCCCCCACAATTCCTTCAGGCTTTGGGAAACTCACACCTGCACAGAGGTCTGGTGCAAACAGATATTCTGGAGAAAGCGAGGAAAGGGGCTGGGTTCTGGGTTTGGGTTGATCTGGAGTGGAGATAAAGGAAGAGCCGTGAACCCAGCACTGCCCAGGAAAAACAGTATGTTCGCCACAGATGTAATTTTACATTTCAGCTATATTAAGGCAATAAAAAGAAACAAGCGAAGTTAATTTTAATAACATGTTTTATTTAACCTAGTATACCTCAAAATATCATTTCACTGGCCAGCTGACCGACACCGGGAAGCATGGGCATTTCAGCCTCCACCCCCAACCTAGAGGCAGAGCATGAACCCTTCACAGGGCACAGAATGTAAACGGAGCTCACTTAAGCTGGACCTCGGGGGGCGAGGGGACCCCACGGGCCTCTCTGTTTTGGCTGTGCTCACAGGAGGTTTCATGTGTAATAATGTCTCCTTTTTTGGGAGCGGCCAGATGCCGGGCATTTGTCTGGGGCTCACAAATTCTCCCAACAGCCCTAGGCAATTACGATTAACGTCTTATGAGCAAACGAACGGTCAGAGCCACGATTCGAGTTCTGCTTGCTCTGAGCCCAAACCCCAACAAACCCACACTGTAAATGCTGTGTTTGTGTGCAAAACTGGGGAGACACAGGCCCTGTGAGGACTAAGGCCAGCTGTAGGTAGGGCCCTGTGTTTCCCTCCGGCAGACATCCTCCTCCCAGACTGAGGGAATGTCTAGAGTCAGGCCACGGTGGGGCCCTGTTGAGGGTGACGGCAGAGGCCCCATGCACTAGGTCCCGGAGCAGTGGTGGCCGTGGGACCGGAGGAGCTGAGGGTGAAAAAGCAGGGCATGGGGCCGCATCTCAGGGTGGTGGGGGCTGGGGGGCCACGGTGGCTGGTCTTCCGTGACTGTGGAGGGTTGGGCATGACTGAGGGGGGACCTTGCCCCTCGGGGAGGACAGAGGTGCTGAGTACAGCCATGCCTTTCTCGTGTGCTGCCAGGGGCCCCTTGAGTGCACGCGCGTGTGTGCCCAGGCACGGCTCGGCGTCCTCCGCAGTCACGCCATCCTTCCAGCTACTTGTCTGGGCCACTTCCTCCCAGGCCGGCGGCCAGGCTCCCGTGTGCTCCTCGGAGCCAAGATCTCAAGGCAAAGCTGGGCAGCGGAGGGAAGCGAGGGTCCGGGAAGACTCCCAGCCTTGGCCGGGGCAGGAGCAGGAGCGCAGAGACCAGGAGAGGCAGCCCCTTCCTGGAGAGGGCAGGGATGGAGGAGGGGCACCCCGGAGAGCCGGCTGGTGGCTCAGAGCCTCCAGCACAGGCCAACTCCGTGCAACTCCAGGTCTCCAGGTTTCAGGCAGATGAGGGGCCTCGAGGCAAAGGAGGAAATGAAGAGACAGAGACACAGTCCCGTTAGAGGCCCCGTGTGGGTGGGGGGTAGCCACCCCAACAGGCAGTCAGTCCAAAACATCTACCGAGCACCTGCCCTGTGCCAGCACTGATCCTCTGCCCGCCTCTGCAGATGCTTATGGGACAACTAACTAACTAACTAGGGGGTATGGGATGCCCAGCAGGCAGGGCAACGTGAACGTAATGGTAGAAGCACTAGCATTGGCCTTGCCCACCCCCATGGACCAGAGAAGAGGAACAGCTTCCTTAAGAGCTCTGAGCACACCCAGACCTGGGCACCCCTTCAGGACATCTTTCCTGAGCACCCACTGTGCACAGGCGCTGCCCCCCTCCGCAGAGGGGGCCCTAGAACCCTGCTCTTTTGGATCTTCTATCTAGGGTGGGAAGCCAGCCTGGAACAGGGCACGAAGGGAGTGCGGGGCACCCTGGAAGCAGGGGGGCTGTTGGGAGCTTTCTGAGGGCTCCCCCTTGGACAGTGACCAAAACGGCAGTGAGGGGGGAGTTGTGTGGATGGCGGGGGAGAGAGTGGGGGATCCCAGCAGAGGGAAGGGCAGGGGCAAAGGCCCAGAAGCAGGAGCAGTGCCGTGTGAAGGGTAGACATGAGCTCAGAGGGCTGGGCAGAGCCAGCATGTCCGGTCAAGAGCGCGGATCTTACTCTCAGTGTGACTAGAAGGCATTGGAGAATCAAAAGCTGGGGGGGCACGATGCCCTGATCTTTCTTCTGAAAGGGTGGGCCGGGCTCCTGCTGGATTGAGGCTGGAGGGGCAGAAGGGACGGGGCTCCACGGGGAGGCCGTTGCAGGGGCCCAGAGGCGAGACCCTGGGACTGCACCAGGATCAGAGTGGAGGCCGCAAGAAGTGGATGGATTCCGGACATACTGGAAGGTGGGGATTCGGGGGAATGAGAGAAAGGGGAGGAGTCCCAGGGGGCACCCACCACCCCCTTGCCAGTACATTTTGGAACACCTGGACACAGTATTCAGAAACTTAGCCATCCTCAGGGGCCCTTGGCCCTGGAGGCACCACCATGGTGTTGGCCCTCCTCATCAGCCCCAAGCCTGGGGCCAGGAGAGGCCCCCACCACCACCCACTGCCCCCTGGGGGAAGGGAGAAGGATCCACCCACATCCCAGGGCAGTGGGTGGATCCCAGGCCTGGTGGGTCAAACTCAAAAAGGGACTTCAAGGTCACCATGGAGGATGTTTGGATTTTCTTGGGAGTTGCCACCCAGATCCAGGGGCCTGAGACGTAGGCCATAAGTCCCTGCTCCTCTGCCACCCCTCCTTTATCTGGGTCCCCTCTTGGGCCTGATCTCTGGCTTGGCCTCCCAAGACAGTGGTCAGACATGAGACCAGGTGTGGCTCAGGGCGGCAGTGGGCAGGGCCCAGCTGGTCTGGCGTGGTTGGAGCCGTCCGGGAGAAAGAAGCTCAGGCCTCGTCCTAGCCAGCTGAGCTCTCCAGGGCCAGGCTGGTGACACTCCGCTCAACAAGGGCGCCAGGTCACGCCGTGTCCCCTAACTTCTGCCCAGACCCTGGAGAAGCCCACTGGGTCATTGAGCTCAGGCATTCAGGGTCCCGTATCCCAACCGCTCTCTCCACATACAGGATAGGCTTCCTTGCAGCATGAGTTACAAAGGGGCTCTTCCTCTAGGGGGTCCAGACAGATAAGAGCCTGGACCTCTTGCTTCCAGAACCCTTCAGCCCTCCAGAAGGCAGTGCGGAGGTGGACATACTAAGTTCTAATCCAAACTCTGCCCCTTGCTTGCTCGGTGACCTTGGGTAAGTTGCCTTCTCTCCCTGGGCCTTGATTTCCTCCTCTGTAAAGTGGGGCTGATGACCCAGTAATGCCCACAGTCAGGTTCTGTCCAAGGACTAAGACCTGGGCCACAGATCAGATCCTTCCGTCTTTCTTCCAGAGAAGATGAGAAAACAGCAAAATGCCAAGAGTCTGAAGGGCAGGCTGGCAGCCCCTGGCTGACTCTGAGAGCTCCCGGAGCAGAAAGGGAAACTGAGGAAGCAAGTGCTGGTGGGAGGCTGCTGAGGAGGAGGAGCTGGCAGCCACAGGTGAGGAGAGCAGCAACTATTTATTCGGGGGTCCTGACCCCAGATACCCTCACCTCCCCCGCCGCCATTTCTCTGCTGGTTCCAAGCCTGGGGGCCCTCAGGCCAGGAGCCGGAATCCCCAGGAAGGATGTGGCTGTGGATCCGCGGCTCCACGCGTGTGGGGAGAGAGGAGGAGGAGGCTGGGTCTGGAACTGGAACAGCAGAGGGAGGGCTGAGGGACTGTGATGGGGCTCCTGCCTCCCCAGCCCAGCCCTCCAACCCCGAGTGCTGGGCTCTGGGGGGCATAGCCCTGGCCCTGCTGAGCACCTCCACGCCAGCTCCTTCAGAGGAGCAGGCAAGGCTGTGTGCCCCGTCCCTTGACTTCCCTGCCCACCACTATCTGCCCCAGCCGCGAGTCAGAAGCCACCTTGTCCCCAGAAATGAGGCTGGCATGGACTCCCGGGCCCACCTGGCTGCGCCCTCAGTGCTGGTCCAGGATGAGGGGCACCTGGGCACTGTCCACTTGTGGAGGCAGCCGCTCGCCGGTGCGCACGTTGAACATGGGCAGCGTGGACAGTGGCCGGGGCACCTCCCGACTGGATGCCATCTGCCGCAGCTCCTCTGTGTTCCCGCGGATGGTGCAGTGGTGGACCATCTGGATGCTGGGGGCACAGGGCCGGCAGTCATCAGCTCTGGGTGTCAACCACACACACGCCCCACCCCGCCCTGCAGGCTCCCTGTGCCCCTGCATCTGAGACACGCTGCCGTCCTCCACCTGCTGGGATGCGTAGGGGGAGGACAAACAGGAGGGTCTTTGGTGCCGGCTCAGCGTCCAGTGACCGAGGCATAGGCTGTGGGAGCAGACAGCCTGGATTCAAAGCTGTGTGTCCCTGGCAAGGTACTGAACCATGCTGTGCCTCGGTGTCCTCAACTGTAAAATGGGCATAATACTAGAACCTACTTCCTAGCACTGTGGTGGGAATTAAGTGAGAAAAATGTTTAGAAAAGCACCTGGTGCATGCTAAGAGCTCCCAAGATGCTCGACATGATACCCACAGTGGATCTGTATTTGAGGAGGTCACCATTTGCTGGACATACATTCCCATGACCCTCTAGGTCCCTTCTAGCACTCAGTTTCCTCCACTAATACTCTCTCCTGCCATTGACCATCCAGTCTTCCCTGTCTCATCCCCCTCGGAGTCTGGCAAATGGCCCCATTCCATCTCTTCCCACCTCCCACTTCGGCTCCTGCTATTTCTGGCCAGACCTCCACGATCTCCTCTTCCGGCTCTTCCCTTCTAGCGTCCCTGGCCTTTGTACATGTACCTCTCCCACCCGACCCCAGGACCCGCTCTGGACACGGACTGTCTGCTCTCTGGCTTTCTCCCAGACCACAGCTCCCTGAGGCCAGCCCTGAGCTCCGCCCTCTATGGGCCTGAAATCGCCAGGGCAATCAGGAAGTCCTTTCTGAGCTCTAGTCTTTCTAGAAGACTTTCTTCTTTCTTCTCAGAAAGCTCAGCCGCATTCTCATTTGAGATCCTCACAGCTTGCTTTCTGCTGTCCAGGACAAGCTTCCGTTCATTCTGAGAAGGACAATAGCCCAGTGAAACCAAGCACAGGGACTTGCTTTGGGTCTGAGTGTGAGTTCTGCTACTCACTGCCTATGTGAACTTATGCAAGTCACTTAACTTCTCCGTGCCACTGTTTCCTCCATTGTAATGAAGTTCGGGTACAGATTGAATGAGTTAATACAGGAAACACACTTCGATGTCTCCTGGTCAGCATCACAGAGGTAGCTAAGTTTACAAGGAACGTGATGCGGCCATCGTTATCATCAGTGTTGTTTTATTATAGGAAGCGCACCGATGTACTTGGCCTCCAGTAAAGGGATGTTCTTCCAATCCCCTTTACACGAACCCCCCAACATTTTTGGGTCCAAACGGGACTCTTCATTACGAACAATAAGAATTAGTCTCCTTGGGACGCCTGTGTGGCAGTCAGTTGAGCATCTGACTCTTGATTTCGACCAAGTTCATGATCTGAGGGTCCTGAGATTTAACCCCGAGTGGGGCTCCACACTCAGCCAGGAGTCTGCTTCTCTCCCTCTGCCCCTCCCCCCACCAACTCTTAAAATAAAGTCTAAAAAAAAAAAGGGAGCCTGGGTGGTTCAGTCAGTTAAGTGTCTGACTTCGGCTCAAGTCATGAATGATCCATCGAACCTGGGATCGACCCCCACATGGGGCTCCTTGCTCTGCGGGAAGTCTGCTTCTCCCTCTGCCGCCCCCCCCCCCCCTTGTCTTTCTCTCTCTCAAATAAAAAAAGTCTTAGAAAAAAAAAAAAAAAGAATTAAGTTTCCTTAAAGGAGTGGGGACCCCAGGCAGAGGGAAGATACCCTACTCGCCTCTGGCTTACTGATCAAATGAGGGAGGGGCAATGATCCCCACCCCTGTCCGAGTCTCAATTAACGGACACCAACACCAGCTCGAGCCCTCGAGATTAGACGCCAGGTCAGACTTTCGAGCTTCAGGCTGAATGGGCCCCTTTGCTCCTCGGGGCAGGGAGGGAGGGGGGCAGGACCAAGTCCTGTCTGGTTGGCGGGAGGAGGTGGAGTCCCCCTCTAAGGCCAGGGGAGGATCAAGATGAGCTCTTGAGTCTGGAATTTGGCAAGCAGAGTAGTCCAAAACGCAATTTTCCATTCCCAGGCAAGGGGAGGCTGAGAGAAAAAGGAAGCTAGAAGCATGGGGCTGCTTCAGGCCAGAGACAGCCAGGCAGGTAATGCCCTGGCCAGGGAAGGGCCTTAGGGGGCCCCCTCCCCGCCCTCGGCACTGCATCTGGGTCTCATTACTCTGGCGACACACACAGGTGGAAAATGCTCTGGGGATGTTTTTCCAGAGCAGGAGCCGAAGCCAGCCCCACTGCTGCCTTCCCCCACAGCCCTTCCACATCAGCACTTGGGCAGACGAACAAATAGGCAGGCATTCCTACACATACACACACACACACACACACTCCCCACCTCCAACATACACAGCCCTGGAGCCCTGTCTCTGACACACAGACCACAGAAGAGGGTCAGGCAGGGGGACTTTCTGGCCAGCAAATTCTGATACAGGCCACAGTTGTGGATAATTTGAAAAATGGTAGACATTGAACAAACAAACAAACAAAAAAACCAACAAGGGCTGATAGGGCACACGGTAAGCCCGCTGATAGATTCAACATTGATGGAGGAAACAGATTTTCCTGAGCGCTTCCGAGGTCCAGAACCCAGCCAGCAGAACAGGCCATGCTCGAAATCACCGGTCAGAAGAGAATTTCCACAATAGCAGAAGGTATAATTGATCAAATTTGGCACGAGCCAAAAAAATTGAGGAATAAAATGTTCCTTGAAAACGGACATGGAAAATCACTCATTCCAAATGGGAAAAAAACTCTATCAAATAAAAATGAAAATAGGGGGAAAAAAAAAAAAGAGTGTTTCCATGGCTTTGTGATCAAATTCACCAAGGAATCAAACTGACCTGGGTAGAGCAAGTCATGACAGTTTGCTTACTCTGGAAAATATTTTCCCATAACGATTCAGAAATGTGGGTATAATTCTGATGCTAAAAATGTTCGTATTCCTCAACTTAATGGGTTGATGTGGTGGCGTCAAAACGGTGGGTTTAAAACTGAGGTCTCATGGGGTGCCTGGGTGGCTCAGTCAGTTAAGGGTCCAACCCTCGATTTCAGCTCAGGTCATGATTTTGGGGTCCTGAGACAGAGCCCCATGTCAGGCTACCTGCTCAGGGCAGAGTCAGCTTATCCTTCTCTATTCCTCCCTCCCCGCCACCACTTACTCTCAGTCTCTCTCTCTCTCTCTCAATTAAAAAAAAAAAAAAAATCTTTAAAAAAAAATTGGGGTCTTTGAGCATCCTGAAATCTGCTGGTTCTGATGCATACATTTCTAAACACTCGCACCCGTGCCTGACACACCACGTGACTCCAGCCGTCCACCCACCTGGCCTCCGCCCTCCTTCCCAGGGTACCTGGCTTGTCAGATGCCCACACTATCTGGGCACCTCCCAGGAAAGAACAATGGGACCACTGTGACCCTCATAGGATTCTGGTGACCTCACAATGTCCCCCTGAGGTCACCACAAAGGTAACCCTTGCCACCCCCTGCACCTGAGGCACAAATCTGTGGAGGCCAGCCGTGGGTGATCATCCTTGGTCCTACTTCTGGCCACCCAGGGGGAGGCTGGGGCTGGAGCCCTCCGCGGGAGCCTCTGAGGGAACCAGGACCAGAGACTCGCCTCATCCACTGAAGAGCAACCCAGTGGAGACGTCCAGCCGTCACCCTGGAGGTCCTCGCACCTAGTTCCCTTCACCCGCCCCAGGGAGAGATGCAGAAAGACACTTCGGCGCCACCCCCATCTGCACCCTTGGTAGCCTCAAACCCACCGCAGGGTGTAGGCCGGCAGGCCAGCGCCTCCGGGGCCCCCAGCAAGAATGTGACTGGGCGCCGCGCCAGCCCCAAAACCCGACGGAAGCTCAGCATATCCAAGGTGATCCTGGAGGTGGTGGCGGACAAGGGCATGCACAACCGTGTGAGTCTAGCCACCCTGAAGAAGGCGGTCACCACCATGGGCTACGACATGACCCGGAATGCCTGGCGCTTCAAGCGAGTGCTCAAGGGGCTGGTGGACAAGGGCATTCTCAAGCAGGTGACCGGCAAGGGGGCCTCGGGCTCCTTCCGCATGGGCAAGAAGTTTGCCTCCAAGATCAAGCTCAGGGGCCAGAGACAGCGCCGGTCTGGGCAGCGCCGGCCTGGGCAGCGCCAGTTGCTAATGGGCTCCCAAAGAGGGCACAAGCGGCTACACAAGGAGGGCCGCAGGGTGGCCAGAGGCCGCCGCAATTAATGAGGCAGGCGAGGCAAGAAGGCAGGGGTGCCAGGCCCGCCACAGGCTCAGTGCAGTGGAAATAAAAGGAGCCTAACTTATTTCACACCTGCCTCCTGGAATCTTTGGGGCTAAAGGGAGTGAGAGTGGAAGGAGGCTGGGAAGGGGGGTAAGGCCGTCGGGGAGTGCAAACCTGAGCAAAGGAAGAGTGGGATGGATTTGGGGTCAGGGCTGGAGGAATTGGGAGCACCACAGACATTAACTAGTTCAATGACCCCGTCATCTGGCAGGTGGAGGAACCCGGGGCCCAAGAGCCTCACGCTGATGGTGTGGCAGAAACCAGCCTGGAACCATACCTACTGTATGACTCGGGGAAGTGTACGTGTGTGCGTGTGTGTGCGTGTGTGTGTCCGTGTGTGAACACAGCCTCTTCAGTGGCTTCTCGAACTCTTTCCCCCAGGGTGGCCACAGGTCTGCACACTTGGCAGGGATCCCCTCCTGTGCCCCACCCCAGATTACAGTCCTCCACGGAGACCCAGAAAATAAGAAGGCCGGGCCAGGAGAGGTCAGGCCCAGCAACCAGCCAGCTGAGACCTGGAGCTCAGAGGCCAGGTGTGGCCCCCATCAGCCCAGAGTAATGTGTGTTGCTCATGGAGGTTTGGGGGTGGGGTCTAGCTTGGCCGTCTAGGGGTGCTCCCACCCAGCCCCCCAGCTTTCCCCTACTCACTCTGAGGTGGCCAGGTCTCTCTTCAGCCTGTGGAAAGCCAAGGGAGGGGGATTAGCTATTACCCACAACACCCCCCCCACCCTGGTGCCAGGCTAGGCAAGAGGTCCCCATCCACTTCCTGGCTGAGGACCCCACTCCCTGAGGGGTCTGTGTCCCCAGGCAGCACAGCAGCCACAAGGAGCCCCGTGGGGGATGAGCCACAGTGCCCTCCCTGCTCTCTGTCCCCCGCACTCACTGTCCCTCCCGCCGGCAGCACATGACATAAGCCAGCAATGCAGTGAGCAGCAAAGCCACCAGCAGGGGCACCAGGAGGGTGACCAGGGCGTCGGTGAGGAAGTCTCGGTCCGTGGCCTCAGTCGGTGGGCAGAAGAACGGGTCATGCTCCAGGATCCCATCACCTGGGGTGGGCACCTCATCGGCGGGCTCTGGCACTGACTTATCCACCTGCTCAGAGAGCCCAGGGCTCACCGAGGAGCTGTCGGCTGGACACAGAGACCCCCGGGGGATGGGGCACTACCACAGGGTTTCCTCTTGCCTGTCTCCCCCTGCTTGGGTGAGCTCACAGGACAAGCCTTGGACTAGGAACCCGGAGAGAAGGGCGAGGAGGGGCAGGTCCATACAATGGGTAAGGCACATCTCTGGGGCCCGACTGCCTGGGTTTGAATCCTGATTCTGACAAGGGCTGTGCTGGGTGACTTCCCTCCAGGTGCCTCCTTTCCCTCACCTGGAAAGGCAGAATGCTGATGGTGGCCCCTGTCTCTGGGGTGGGGGCGAGGGTAAAGCATGTTGATTGGCTAGAGCCCAGCACACAGCACGTGCTCAGGGACATTGTTGAGGATCAGTCCCTGCCTCATCAGTCCCTGGGTCAATTATCAGGAACAGAGTATTCCAGTGGTTCCCAGCCCGGGGAGTCAGCATCTCTACGGACCCCAAGTAATTGTGCTCAGTATCCCCAAGCGCAGTAGTGAGTATCTTTGGTTTAGAACTTGGGGTAGAGGGGTGCCTGGGTGGCTCAGTGGGTTAAAGCCTTGGCCTTCAGCTTGGGTCATGATCTCAGGGCCCTGGGATCAAGCCCCACATCTGGCTCTCTGCTCAGCAGGGAGCCTGCTTCCCCCCTCTCTCACTCTGCCTGCCTCTCTGCCTACTTGTGATCTCTGTCTGTCAAATAAATAAATAAAAATCTTTAAAAAAAAAAAAAAAGAACTTGGGGTAGAGCTATCTGTTACTTATTGCAGGCAGATTTGCTAGGTGACACCTTAGAAGGAAGCAGACAGAGATGTCCCAAAGAGTCCCCTAGTGGGGAAAGGGTTTTTGGAACTGCCCCCAATTGGAGTGATTATTCTAGCTGTTGGGTTGGGCGCATAGGAGACTTCTGGACCCCGGGATCGCTTTTCTGGATTATGGACTCTGTCGCCCTCTTGTGGAATGAGGTGGAACTTCAGCGCACGCGCGCGTGCGTGCGTGTGTGTAATCACAGAAAGAAACAGGAACGGAGAGACGGGGTGGAAACAGGGCTAGGGAGGAGACTGTGATGGGGATCATGCCCCATTCCCACCTCCGGAGCCAGGGTCCCTCCTCACCAGTGACACATTGCACCAGTCAACGCGGAAGTGAGGCGCCAAGGTGTCATAGCAGGACAGAAGTGGAGGCTGACCCTGGGCACAGCGAGCGTGGCTGTCTGGAGATGCCACCATCTTCAGGCAAGTAGAGAAGGGTGAGGTAGAGCCCACCTTGATGTAAACCCTGGGCCCGGACAGAAGCCACAGTTAGCATTTGTGGGGGGAGGGCTGGACACTGGAGATTTGGGGTTGCAGGACCACCTTGAGACCTGGGTTATGGCGAGAGCACACAGAGCACCCTATTCTTCTGGGGGGCCTTATACTCCCAGGAATGTCTTTTGATAGCTGGGCCTTTTATGTTCTCGTGGGCTATCGGGGAGTCTAGAGTTCAGTGTAATTAGGGTTTGGGCCCAGGAAAGGCAAGAAGATGAAGGGGTGTGGCTGGAGGAAAGCAGACGGTAATGTGAAACTGGGAGATACACGTGGGTATATGAAGGTGCATGACGGTGCTCCATGACCACCCCTCCGGAAGGCCAGCTGTTGCTACCTCCTCCAGGAAGTCCTCCTGGGTTGCACACTTACCCTTCCTTGCGACCCTCAATGGGAAGGGGGACGCGGCCCCCACGGTCCAAGGCGGAGGTAATGTTGAGTAGCTGGAGCTCTCCCGGCTCCCAGAGCCCTCCCAAGGCTGTGAGGAAGCGACTGGCAGGCGTTGAAGGCAGCACCTCCTCCACATCGTGGCTGCACACCAGGAACTCAGCTTGGTATGGCAGCAGGGGGCCTGCAAAGACCAGGTTGGCACTTGAAGCCGCAGGGACCCTCCCCAGCCTCCCCCACTCAAGCTCCTCCCCATGCCCCCTCAGACTCCTCCCTTCCTCCCTAATTTCCCATCCTTCACAGGCCTCAAATGCCCTTCCCACAGCCTCAGCAACTCCCCAAGGCCCCACAGACCATGGGCAGAACGGCTGAGAAGACAGCTCTGGAGCCCTCCCAGGAGCCCCTGCTCCTACTGCTCCCAAGTGTCTCGGCACCCCCATCCCTCCTTCCAAGGGAACCTCCCCCCAAGACTGGCATTGGCGGGGTGGTGGGGCAGGGGTTCGGCAGGGCTGACGGTACCTTCTGGATCCCCAATCAATAGCACCAGCCTCTGCCGGGTGGTGTCAAAGCTGTCCTGATTGTAGGCTGTGACCTGGGGCAGGGGGGTGGGGGATGCAAAAGAGGGCTGAGGGAGGGGGTAACGGAGGAAACCTGAGGGGGACTGAGACACCCTCAAATAAGAGCATTTAAATTATGTAAATGAGCATGCACATTGTCCACAGGGGGCACAGCCATTGGGGTCCTTGCCGGTACCTCGATGACCTGGTGCCCACGATCTTCGGGGGTGGGGGTGCCGTAGAGGAAGCCAGGCTGGCGGGGGCTGCGCTGGGTGTAGCGGAGCCACCGGGGCAGGTCTGGGTGTCCCTGGAGGTGGGCGTGGTAGGTGACAGGGGTTGTGTGGGGGACATCTGGTGGAAGGGAGGAGAGGCAATGGGAGAAGTGACAGGAACCTTCACCGGCCCCTGGCCGGGCCTCGCCAGCCCACCAATGCCCTCCAAGCCCCTCTCACCGATGTGCTCAGGATGACGCAGGACGGCTTCCTGGTCCAGGGTGTGCACGAAGACGCGGCCCACAAGAGGCTGCAGGGTGGTCTGTGGGGCCTCGGCATCCCCCAGCCCTGCCAGGAGAACTGTGGGGACCCCATATCCCCCAAAGACACACATCAGCCTTAGTCCAGGGGAGAGCTCCCAGTGCTCTCCCCTTAGAGCAGGGGAGAAGCTCCCAGTGCCCCTAAGAGACGGGGGGCTCCCAGGAAAGGACGTTGGTGGGGTCCTAGCTATGCCACACACACCGGGATCAGTGACAAGTCCCAGACATTTCTGTCACTTCCCATTCATGGGAATTCCCACCCCCAGTCCACATTTTAGGCTCCCTTTGAGGGGTCACACTGGGCAGGGGCTGCTGTCTGGCTGAGAGGGGTGTGGGGGTGTGGGGGGTGGATGCGGGTTACGAGCACTTGTGAAAGAACTCTAAGAATGTGGGTGTCAGGGGCGCCTGGGAGGCTCAGTCAGTTAAGCATTAGATCCTTGACTTCAGTTCCTCTCCCTCTGCCCCTCCCCACTGCCCCACAAGTGCTTTGTCTCTCTCCCTGCTCTCGCTCTCAAAAAAAAAATAAATAAATAAATAGAAATTTTAAAAAAAGAACACATTGCGTCTGGAAGGCTGGAGGGGAGGGGGAGAGGGAAGGAACTTTTGAAGGAGGTGGGTGGCCATTCTGGTACTCCCTCCCAACTCCCCTAACACACAGGGGGGAAGGGGCCCACACTAGAAGCCAATAAATGCTGAGCAAAAGGGATCCTAAGCCCCAGGGAAGGGACCTGCCCCAGCGGGCCCCCACACCCTCCCAAGGCCAAATTTAGCCTAGGCCTAGCAAGAAGGCCGACCAGCCAGCCCATTAAAGGGCCAAAGACACTCCGGGCCTGTGCAGTCAGACCCACCTCTGCCCAGGACGCCCAACCCTTCAGAGCTCTCTGAAGCTCTCCGTGCCCCCCACATCCCAGAGCCCTGCTCCCAGCCCCATTTCCCTGGACCTCCCGCTGGACAGAGCATGAGCACCCCAAGGTCCTTCTGGTCCTGGCCCCAGACCCCTCCCCTGAGCTACCTCTGTCTTTCCACCTCTTTCCACTCGGACATCCCGTCCCTTCGTCCTGAGCCTCGCCCAGAAGAACGCCCCAACTTGCCCGCAAGAAGAATCCAGATTAGAGCGGCTGCCATGACTGCCCCAGCCTGCCCTGCCCGGCTGTGAGTGACAGAGACAGGAGCAGGGGGGAGGAGAGAGGGAGGGAGGGAGAGTGGAAGGGAGGGCCCAGAGCAGCTGGCCCCAGCTTCTGCCAGTGGGTCCCTCCCCATCCCCACCTAAACAGGCACTGAATCCAGGTTGAACACTGTCCTCATAGGACACTGTCCCTCCAGGGATCCCCTCCTGGTGGCCTGAGAACATTTTCTAAACCACCAATCCGAAAACCTCAGTCCTCCCTGGAAACACTAAGGGCTCCCCTTGCCCTGAGGCCCCAGCTGTTGATGGCTTTTAGACCCTGCCTGGGCCTGGCCATCCTGCCCAGAATCCCTGCCTCTCACCCCTGCCAACCACACACACACACACACACACACACACACACACACACACACACACTCTACCCCAGGCTTCTGCCCAGCATCAATCTGCTGCTGCCCCCTCCACCACCCCCACCACTAAGTCCTTTGCACAAGCTGTTCCCGCTGCTTGGAGTTCCTTTCCTGCACTCATCAGACCAGCCAACGGCCACGCACCTGGCAAACACAGGCCTCCTCTCCTCCCTGCAGGCTCTCTGCGCTGACTTCCTCTGCTAGGCCCAGCTGGGTGCCCGCTGGGCCCCCGGGTACAGCACTGCAGAGGGTGGGGGAGACTAGAATCTTTTTATCTCCGTATGCCCGGACTTGGCATGGGGCCTGGCAACCAGTAGGTGTTGGGGGATTGCATGCCGAACAGCAGGGTGCCCATTCACCCAGTCCTGATCCCCAGAGCAGACACCCCCAGCACGTACCCCAAGTCTGGGAAGAGAGAGAGAGTCCTGAACAGGACTAGCCAGGTAGAGCCGGGGGAGTGGAGGAGGCAGCACAGGCTTGGAGACCTGCCAGCTGGACATGAACCTCACCTTGACCCCTCACTGGAGACCTGGCCTTGGAAAATTCACTTGCCCTCTCTAGGCTCTGTTCCCACGACTACAACCTGGCAGGATAGTGCTCACCTCTCCGTGTGCTTGTGATGAAGCCACAGCCTAATGAACTCAGCGCGTGCTTAGAGAGCAGCCCCTGTGGGGGGGGGGGGGGGGGGGGGGGGGGGGGGGGGGACAGACACGTGCCCCACGGGAGTGTGCACACGGATGGGTACTGCCGGCTAACCCCCACCTGCTGCCCTGCACCAGGCTTAACATACACGGATGGACGGGAACTCCTTCCATCCCCGCAGCCGTTCCCAGGAGGGCTTTCATCCCCATTTTCAGACAAGAAGAATGAGGCACCAGCTCTTCATGACCCCCCACCCCCCAGGGCCATACGACCGAACAGCTGAGGCCCGTGCCCTGGCTGCGGGGGCACCCTGTCCCCCTCCATCTTGCCTCAGTCAAAGATCTGGGTCCAGGTGTGAAGGGAATGGGACGCCCTTCTCTCTGGGGGCTTCGAACTCAGAGCCAGCAGAGGGGACTCTCCCTAGATGTCCTGAGAAGGAGGTGGGGAGCCACGGGTGCCTCCTGGGTCCAAAATTCCTGGTGTGTGCAGGAGTATCCCTCCTGGGCATCCCCATCTCCCCCCACCATACCCATCGCCCCACACAGGGACGCCTGGTACCAGTTCTGGTCAGACCTGAGGGCCACGGCGTTGGCCTGCCAACTGGAATGACTAGGGTGCAGGTTACTTAGTCCTCATCTCTTTTCCTCTCTCCCTGCCTGACCATCCCACCCATCCCTGGAGAGCCACCAGATTCCAGAGTCAGCATCCACTCAGGCTCTCAGACAGGGCAGGGTTTGTCCCAGAGTCACCGTGGCGCCTCTCTGCCTTCTCAGACATGGAGACGGAGGGCATGAGGCAGAAAGGTTCTGGAGGCAGACAGAAAGTCAGAGGGCTATGAGGGAGTCTGGCCAGCTGCCCAGTCCTCAGCCCCTCAGCGGCCCCTCCCCTGCTCTTTTCTGGAGCCCCCCACTCACACCTTCAGCTGTCCTGAAGTAGCTGTGTCTGAGCCCAGTGCCACCAGACCCCCAGAGGCCCCCAAGGACTGTGTCAGGAGCCAGCCAGAAGTCCCCTGTGGCCTACCAGAAGACCTCCCCACCTCAGAGCTGTCTAGATTGCAAGCTACTGCTAGAATTCTCAGTGTCTCTGTTCCCTGGGGCCTGAGCATAGAGAGAGGGGTCACAGGGTCCTTAAACTTCTTAGTTTGCAAATTTATTTTATTTTAAGTAGGCTCTACACCGAGTGTGGAGCCCAATGAGGGCCTTGGACTCTCGACCCTGAGATCAAGACCTGAGCTGAGATGGAGAGTCAGACACTTAACTGATTGAGCCATCGAGGTGCCCCTTAGTTTGCAAACTTTAAACAAAAGTCTACAGAATAGGGGCGCCTGGGTGGCTCAGTGGGTTAAAGCCTCTGCCTTCGGCTCAGGTCATGATCTCCGGGTCCTGGGAATGAGTCCCGCATTGGATTCTCTGCTCGGCAGGGAGCCTGCTTCCTCCTCTCTCTCTCTGCCTGCCTCTCTGCCTACTTGTGATCTCTGCCTGTCAAATGAATAAATAAAATCTTAAAAAAAAAAAGTCTACAGAATAAAAGAATGAAACCTCCATATATCCACCCTCCAGCTTCAACAGTCAGCAACTTATGGCCAATCCCCTGTCACCTGTGCTCCCCCAGGTTTCATTTCCTGTTTCATTTCCTCTGTCAATATTTTAGCATGTATTTTTGAAAGATTATGACTCTTTTATTTTTATTATTTTAATAGAATGACTCTTCTTTAAACAATCACAATTGTTATACTTCGTATATTAGTATACCTTAAAGTTAATAATTCCTTGATATCAGACTTACAATGTTCAGATTTCCAATTTCTCATGAATGTCTTTTTTTTTTTTTACAGTGTGTTTGTTTGAATCATGATCCAAATAGAGCACACACACCGAAACTGATTGATGCGTCTCCTTTAAATCTCTTTAAGTCCATAGGTTCCCCATCCAAACCTCTCTCTCTCTCTCTTTTTCCTTGAGAGAACCAGGCCATTTGCTGTGCAGTTTTCCAGTCTGGGTTTTGCTGATTGCATCTCTAGGGTGTTCTTTAACATGTCTCTCTGACCTCTGTACTTCCTGTAAATTGTATTTCCTGTACATTGTTTTTTCCTGTAAATTGTAGTTGGATTGAAAGTCCTGATCAGGTGTAGGTTCTATTTTCCTTGGCAAGACCACTTCACAGATGGTGGGATTGCTTCTTCCATCCAGAAGTACAGGAACTGTGATGCTCTGTGCCTCATCCGTCAGTCCCCCGCCCCCCACCCTGCAAATGGTGATACTCACAACCAATCACTCCTTCCTTTATTAGTCAGAATAATTCTTGACACAGAAACTGTGCCTGGCTTACTAGTTGGTTACTGAGTGTTGTAGCTCCTATGGAAAAAGATAGGATAAATACTCGATTCTGTTCCTATATTTGCCAATTTTGAAATAATGAATTGATTCTCCAGCATCCCTCAAACCTCAACCCGTTAGCTTTTCAAAAACAGTAGCTTAATTATGAATTTATGGCTTTAGGCATATTTGATTGCTTCAGTCTGTTGTGACAAGAGTCCCCTCCTGGTCCTTGGACTGTCCCTTCTTGAGCTCCTGAGGTGGCCCTCACCTGTCGGAGCATCCGTCTGGGGGGACAAGTGGGTCAGGTATCTGCCTCTCCACACCTGTCTCCCCAGCTCTCTGCCGGATCTCCGCTTGTCAGTGTCCCGATTTAATTCCTCTGGTCCTTTGTCTCTGGCTCTCCCCATCTCAGTGAATATCTTCTGAATGAATGAATGATTGAATGAATGAATGCTTCATCTCCCCAACTCTCTCCTTCCACTTCTGTCTTTATGAACCTCTTGATTTCTGAGGACCATATTTTCTTCATCTGCATCTACAACGGGGATTATATGTTGTCATGAGGGACAAAGGAAAGAGATTCTCATCATTGTGATCTGATTGTCGCATCTGCCTCCCAGACTCCACCCCCATCTTCTTCCCCCTCCTCTTCGCCGCCCCCCAGCGCTTCAACAAAGGATGCGATCTGTCAGTCAGCCACGAGAGGGCGCGTTCGCGGCTGCAGCTTGGACTTGCGCCTGCGCAATACTGGGGCAGAGCGGGGACAGGGCCGGGGTCGGGTGGAGGGGCGGGAGCGCTCCGCCCCGGGTTGAGGTTGCGCGTCAGAAGTGTTTGCTGAGCACTGCAGCTAGAGGGGGCGACGCAGGAGGAGGCCCACGGCCCCGAGCCTTACTTCGTCCTCCCCTTCCGGGTCCAGAGGATGTTTTCCCAAGCGGGGAGGAGATCCGCCTAGCTGCCGGGGGCTGGACACTGCCCTCTTTCCCACCATCCCCATCATTTGTATCAACCCTCCGACTTCCAAGGACATGTCCCTATTTCCCCACTCTTCGCGACCTTTGGGGGCACGAGTCTGAGGACCTAAATGTACCCAGATTCCTCCTCCCTTTTTTTTTTAATCTTTGGCCTTCAGCCCTCAAAGAGGTTCCTTGAGCCTTGTGACCGCCCAGAGCCATCAATCCTGAGTCTGAGAATACCAGACACCATCCCTAGCCAAACTTTATAGCTTAGGGGAGAAACAGAGAAGGGAGGGACTGTCAAAGGGCTCACAGCACAGTGTTCTGCCCAGCTAGATCTCTGGACAAGGAGGAGAGACACTCCCGCTCTGTAAAGTGGGGGTAATAAGGATCAATGAGATAGTGAAAGCGAAAGTGCTTTGTAAATTGTAAAGCTCTGGAGAGAGTAAGGGGTCTTTTATTTATTTAGAACTGAAGGCACAAGACTGTAGCTGCCCAGGGCCAGGCCACCCGCACAGCCCGAGAGCTGGGAGAAGTCAGATTTAAAAGCCACCACTTCTCAGCGATGGAAGGATTAGGAAAATAAAAGAAACAAAAAATCTTTGACATTTTTTGCGGATGGTATAATTATTTATATAGAAAATCCAAGAGGGTCTACAGGCATGTTATTAGGGTTCTTAAGAGAGATCAGCAAGGTTGTTGGACGAAAGTTAATATCCAAATATAAATACGAACTCCAAC